TGTATGCTATACGAAGTAGTAACGTTCACAAAGGGGTCGTTCAAGGGCAAGCCGCGCTCTCTGGTGTTTTGCTATCGTATGGACACATGCATAAAACTTGAAACCGTGCTTCAATCTGGCTGAACGATTTTAACGCCAAAAAATAATGAAAGACCTGTCATTGGTTCGCTTACCCGTGGTGGCAGAATTTTACCAAAGACAGCGATTAAAATGGGTTCTAGAGTGGTCCGAAGGGGATGTGGTAGTGCTCAATGGTCCGCCAGTGGCGAAAAAAAAGCAGAGAAAAAACGTTGAGAATCGAAAAAAGGACATGATCGTAAAGGAGGATTCCACGACAAGGTCGGAGGTCGAAGAAGGGGAATATGCCTAGTCGAAGGAGAGGCGGGCGCTCTAAGTGGGACAATGCGTGTTTTGTAGCGAAGAATGTGTCCCCAGGAAGGCCATACCCGCGCCGCGGCACGCCCACCTCTCGCCGTCTGACTCTAGCCGTTTAGCAGAGAGAGCGTTAGCGTTGAAGAGGGCAGCACCGATGAGAGTCGCATCAATGCGGAAGGGCAAAGAAGGGGTCCCATTTCTCGGGTTCTGGGCCGTTTCTCATGTTTTTTCTTCATCCCTGCACCACTGACACCTCTACCTTCGTTTCTGATGGGACAGCCTTTTCATCTCAAACTCCGTCCTGATTGTCGATCGTGGATGAGCGGCGGCCAAGAAAGAGGCCCCTTGGACGTGTTGAACCCCGATAGCCGCCATCATGCCAACAAGCATAGTGTTTTGATTGATAAGGCAATACATGGGCAAGTTGGAAGATACAGCCGCTAAAATAATCCTCTAAAATGGAAAGCTAAGAGCAGCACAGATCGCCCAGTTATCAATTTAATTATTGGGTGGAGCGCTTGGGGGCGTTGCAACTTCCAAGTATGTACTGCACAACAACCAACGAACCTTTCGTCGTAAAACCCATCTTGCTTTCTTGGCAGCCTTGCTACTGCTCCCAATGGTGCAGAGTTCCCCGGCGCAAACAAGCTTTATCGTACGCATTTTCTTTGAGGCTGGTATCAGAGTTTGCGATCCGTCCGTCGCTTACTCTGAAACCGGCCTAGCTCCGCTCCGTTCAGAGAATGGTTAAACAAATTTGAATGCTGTATACATATGCAGCGGTGTATACCACATTGCAAATGGCTGGTATGACCCGTTGACTTTCACTGGTATTGAGCTTGGTGCCAGAGTTCTTAATCCATCGAGCGATTCGCGTGAATTGCGCGACGGATCGCGGACTCTGGCGCTATCGTAAGGGTAGCGCCCACGGGTTTTTGCCATTGAGGTCCTAATTATGAACATGGCAAAGTTTTTGAAACCTGGCACCACTCTGAGAGGATTACCTGAAATTTTATTCCTCAATGGTTTCGAACCAATAACGTCTCCTTCACTACTTTTTTTTGCATTACTAAAACTTGTTCTGCGGGATGGAAACGCTTTCATGTTCCACTTTGCGTCCCTGCGACACACGCAGCACTGTTCTAAGAGAGCCCGGCTTGTCCTGAGCGCCTCCCCCCTCTTGTAAGGCTTGCGAGAGTTCTGCTACTGTCAAATATGTATGTCGGATCTTAGTACAGGGAAGTTCTGTAGTTATCATTTATTAGTTTTTATTTATGGCAGTCAGGTTTCATTAGTTGTGGAGATGTAGTAATAGAAGCACAGCACGCTACATTCATTGGTATCATCGATGTGAAATGTAGAAGTTGGTCTTGATTCATGCGAAAAGCTTCATTCAGACCAATTCATTCAGGATCTTGCTATGAATACTGGCTCTGATAGTGTACAGTTATTATACAGTAAAAGGCACCGAGTAAAAGATAGTGACAGACAGCATAGGAGGGTAATAAGGGGAACACACAATAACGACTATGTAAGAGAATCAATGAAAGATGTGTTAAACTGAGTGTTAATGACGATTCTCGAAAGAATGAACAATGCAAAAGCTATGAAAACAGGTGCACAAGATTACGTGAGGAAACCTTTGGGCGCAAAGAGAGTTAATGGAAGGGGAGGGGGCGCTCTAGCACTGCTTGTCTGGCGCCCTCTCAAGCGCGAAGCACTAAGCCTGCCCTTAGGAAGTTATGGGTAGTATATCATGAGGATTGTGCGAGATCACAGATCAGGCTTTTGCAGTCGGGTACCCGACAGGAGGCCCGTCGCGCGGCAAGAAGGCAGAGTCAGCGGACGAGTCGCGCGCGTACTGTAGTGATTTCGCGTCAAGTTAAATAGAATGTACCATTGTACGTCCTACATCGCACATCACGCGCTGCGACTCGTCCGCTGACTCTGCCTTCTTGCCGCGCGACGGGCCTCCTGTCGGGTACCCTCTGCAGTCTATCATTCTTTCCTGGGCTCGGGCTTAGCGTCATTGCGCTCGAGAGAGCGCCAGAAGAGCAGAGCAGAGAGCCACCGCGTGCCGCACCTCCTCTCTCCCACTGATTTTGCACCAACCTTTGTTCTCATTGTTCGCGGCTATAATAAAAGGTCGCCGGAAACCAGAAAAAGTCTAGAATAAGACCCGCTTTTGTTTCTATTCAGAGACAGGATGATCGAAAGTGAGCACAAGAAAAAATGCGAAAATTAGCGGATATGGGTTCCCCATGTAGTCATTTTTTCACTAGACGGAGTTCGAAACGCGGGAAACCTCACGTAATCTGGTGCTGATTATAGAAAATGAAAAATTATTACAACATCTCTCGAGAATCAGTCGAAGCAGGCCTTTCGTAGGTGATTTCCTGTTTGAAACTTTCTTCGACGGTCTCATGTACGCCGTGGCGTACCATAGACCCGTTACCATCACTTGAGACAGTGATGCGTGAACCACCTATGTCACGCGAGCGGTCGCCATGCGGTCGTGCAAAGTCGCGACGAGCGTCACGTATCGCAATGTCTCGCGTGACACCGCCTCCACCACCACCGCGGTCAATGTTGAGGCCTCCACTACCAGGGCCATAGCCGCTATCG